CGATTATTGCATTTATTGTGCTTATATAATTATATAATTATATATTTATATATTTAACATACCTTAGATACCATCCCAACTCCTAAACAAGACTTTCTATCACAGCCAACCCCACAAATAATCACTAACAAGAAGCTCAGAATCTATCTTCATCGTTTAGCTTCCGTTGAGCAGCGTGTTCGTAGCATTCAAGCTAAAATATACATTTGCAATGAAGATGCTCGTAAATATTATGAGACAGACGGTATTTGGGATTTTAATATTTGTCTATTTTTAGTTCAAAACTTAGTTATAATCTGACTTATTGTTATAAGCAGGCATGGATGTTTCTGAGAATGAAAGAGAACAATTAATAAAACGATATGAATCAATAAGCAATGATTTTGTTTATGTTTTTCAAGAATGGGAAGATGGAAAAAGGGCTTTAAAAGATGTAACTGAGCTAATACCGGTAGAACCGGATTTAAGCTCCAGTCGTCAGTCTCTTGAAGAAGATACAGAAACTTTACAAGATGAAAATGACCAGGACGAAAATCGTTCGGAAAAAACGCTTATCATTGATTGGTCGCAAATAGATGAACCTTTAGATATATTAGAACAAGTATTTGAAGCCGAAGCTAAGGTTGAATATGTAACTAAGGTATAGCATCAAATTCGGAACTTTTCTTAAGGAAATTGAATACATATTTCAGATTAATAATCGATAAAATTAATTTATTATTAAAAGACTAAATCAGAAGAGTTAGACTTGATACAGCAAAAGTTATCTTCAGAAAATAAGGTTCTACAGCCCTCTCCTGAAGGATTTAAGCTAATACAAATGCACGGATCTAGAGTGGCTGTTGCAACAAATTAGAAAAAAAAAAAAACCAAGTTTAATTATATTTAATGTTCTTTTTCTTTTTATATTAATAGCTGCCGAAATATTTTATTCAACCATGGACTATATATATACACGATACATTTAAATTATACATGCTTGACTATTTTTTTTCTTTTCATACCCTTAAAAGGCTTTATAGACATTTTCAATTTTATTACCTCTTTGACTAATCTAGTCTTTATTGTACCATACATTATATAACATATGATTCCCTCATATTAATAATTTACATATCATCCAATGTTACTTTGATTTAATTTTTGGCATTTGCTATTTTGCTACTTTAAAACCATTCAATTGAAAAAAAAGAAATTGAAATGATGTATAAAAAATTGAATTAGTAACCAAATTTGGTTAAATAAAATTTATCGTTATGATAAAAAAGTAAATATATTTTGTTTTTCAAGATAATACATATGTTTTTTGTTTTTTTTAATATGGTGCGAGCTATCTAAAAATTGCTAAGAGTCTCATATACAAGCTAAATATTGAAAGTTAGTATTCATGGAATATAAAGTTAATTTTTGCGTGACTTCTTAAATCGTAACTCTTATTATAGTACAAAATGGAATAACGTTTTATACTAGATAGCTCGCATCGTATAATATCATAATGTAAATATTTAATGTTATACTATTATATTTTAAGTATAGATACCATAATTAAATATAAAACTGATATATATTTAAATGTTACCATTTAACCCTAATCACCAATCACTTCAAGTTCTGATAAAATTATATCAGGTCTTAGATCATTTTCTGAAACTGGGATCGTACTGTCTCTAAATATCTGAATATTTAGGGCAAGAGCCACTAAATATAATAAATAATATATAAATATCATCAACGAATATTAGGAATTTACTAATGTATAGATTTATAAGCTTACTAGTTTTTGGCGGTTTAACCCATTTTTGACATCTCGCCAAATATCCATCGTAAGAGCTATATCAATATAAAGGCAAATAAGTTATCTTAAAATATAAAAATTAACTTACAAATCTTACCCTTTGCCGTTACCAAGTCTATTTCCCTCATAATCAAATGCAATTCCTGTTAATTTAATAGTTATTTTAATCAGTGTTTCTATATAATATCTTTAAAAAATTCAAAGCATTAATTACCAGGCATTATAATTAAATCTAAATGAGTTGCTATAATAATTATAAATATAATTAGATTAAATAGTTTAAAAGAAACAGTTTTTAAATTTCGTAAATTTATAATATATGATTTGGTTACCAATTTCTCGCTCTTGGTTATTTGATTTTAAGAAACCTAATTCATTCAAGTTATTTGGCCCAATTGATCGATAATCTTCCAAAGACTTAAGTTTGACCATTTCCATCTTCCCTTCATCCCAACACGGAACATAACATATTTTCCCTAATAAATAAATTAATTAATTGGTAGCGGAAAGGAAAGTGGAGATGGGCACCATGATATATATATATATTCAACCATGAATGCTGGTCTAACCGATGTACTTAAAAAAATTTTTTTAAGATTTAAGCAACAACTATTTGTTTAAAATTTAATTAAAAATTTATTTTAATTATATGAATTTATAAAATTAAAATAAATTTTATGATTAAATTTCTATAATTGCTCCTCTAGGAACTAACCACAAGAAATTATTTATAGAGTGTATATTAAAAATAATTTTTGATCCATTGGTCTGTTTTGAACAATTTTACTATCAAAATGACCATTTTAGTGAAAAGATTCTAGAAGCCTAAAATTGTTAAAATTCAATTATAGGATTCTGAAATTATTATAAATTTGTTAATTTTTTTAAAGATATTGTAATTAAATCAATTTTAAAACATATAAAGCAATACAAATCTATAATGTATAATTGGATTTGATTGATTTTGGCTCATTAAAATCATACTAAATGATTTCTGTACATAGGAAGACAGACTAATGAATCGAAACTTATTCACTATCAAATATGTATATCGATATATATATCAACATATGGGGGTGCTAATAAAAACCAAGCAAATTGTTCTAAGTAAATTTTTTTTAAACTTTAAAGTAAAATATCTCAACAATTATTAAACCAGACTTGGTAAATTTTTTTTTTTTAATTCTATAACTATGTAGAATTAAAATAGAAAAAAATTTATCAAGTTTGGTTTAATAATTGTTGAGATATTTTACTTTAAAGTTTAAAAAAAATTTACTTAGAAACAATTTGCTTGGTTTCTACTGGCACTCCCCCATATATTTTAAATTTTGGACAATGCATATTTTGCCCATCTCTAATTGAATGTGGTAATGATTATACCTTTAAGAAATATATCATAAATTATAGATTCTGTTGAAATTTCGCCCCTTGTTTTACTAAGGTACACACTTATGTTTTTGCTTGACTTATATTCCTCGGAAAAAATTACCCTTTCTACTACTGCGGTGCCTGTGTAAAGAAATGTTTGAATAACGGTCTTATAATACTTTAAAATTTAAGTACCATAAACTTACTTTCACGCTCAATTTGCTCAGAAGAAATTGTATCAAGGTCCATAAGCGTTAGTTCGCGCAAACGAGCTTTCACTTTTTTTACGTTTGCCATGTTTGTTTTAGGAAGAGTAAGTTTTTAAAAAAAAGTGTTGCCATCTTCTCCTTTAAAATATCGATTAGTAGTCAGTGTGACCACCGAATATCCTAAGGCAGAATATTGTTACACGAATTCGAAAGCATTTTATTAGGGTTAGATAAAAAAAAAACTTTTACAATATTTGTTTTTAGTGCACTTATGCGATTTTCTCTATTTTTACTTTAGCTTCTTTTACAGGTTAGTCTAAATTCACGATTTGACTGGTTATTACACGTTACACTACTCGATTATATGTAAAAAAGTCCGGTGAATAGTTCAAATTTCCCAATTCTGAACCGTCATTTAGACAAAATCGATCGGATACAACTTAAAACAAACGCCAACTTAAACACGCGTACGCAAGTGATACAAACGTCAAAAAGCGAAAATTTTGAATGTGGATCGTTAGCACCAATTATAGTTAATGTTTATCACGAGGTGGGGACATTTTTCAAGTTACGTCATATAAATTTGGGTGTTACAGCTAGAAAAGTAATGGCGCAGTCCCGTGACTAATTAATACGATTTGTGTTAATCAAATAGAGCTGAAAACATTATTTAATAACAAACCTAGTTTTTATAGCATTTATGAGATTTTTTCAAATTCTTGTTTTTTTGGTTCATTTTTATTTTTTTACTTTAAATTTGTATGTTGCGCATTGATCTTACAATCGGATTGGGTAAAATCACGGGACTGCCAAATTTTTGCGCCATCACTTTACGTACAGGGTATGGTGGTTTTGTATTACACGTTTTTTTTTGTTTTTGGTGTTATTTCATTGTTTATGGTATTGATTTTCTGAGTTTCTTTTTTTCCTTTATTAGGTCCTTCATGTTACATGGGAACCTTGTCGTTTTGTATGGGTGTTTTTATTTATGTACCTCAAAGTGTTTTAGTTAAGAATACTAAAAGTAAAAAAAAATAAAAAACAACTAAAATTACACTCTTTAGCTTGGAACTTTATTTATATTATACTTTTTATATATATCAACCTTTTTTTGGTTTTTTTTTGTAAAAAAGTTAAAAAGTTTAGTTTATTTTTACAAAAGATCAGAATTGTAGAGATGCAATAAATAAAGTTGTCAACTTTTAAGTAACAGGTTTAGTGTTCAAATCTTATCTATAATGAAAATTTGAAAATTATATCTGTGTTATAACAGATTGTTTTAACAATTGGTTAAATTAGTATATTTGTATTATCTTAAATAGAAGCTTGAAACATTTATATAAAGTGTAATATTATATATATATATATATATTTATTAATGTTTTAAAAGATTTTAATACAAATTTATTTTTTAAACTATTTAGTAGGCTAATTTGCTTGTTAGAATTTTTTTTGTTCTATTTTTTTACAATTATTTAAAATTTTATTGAAAATACAATAAGTTTACTTTTTTCTAAATTAAAATAAAAATTTAATATTTGTTTAATTTTTTTTCTTTTATTTGAGCAGTCTTATTAGTTACCTTTATTATAATTCTTATACCATACAATACAATTTGTATAAATTTTGACCTAGCATCTTACAAATACTTATAAGAGACCTATTGTTACAGAGTTGCAGCCTTCTTAATACAATACAACCAAGTAACAAGGTTACTTGGTACAGTGATTAACTATTGCAAATATATACAGGGTGAAGGTGTAATAGTTTACTTTACTACACAGTAGTAGACAAATAGTTTGAGATAATAACAGTATATAGATTAACTTTTTATTAACAACACACATGGTGACAATCTTGCCTATAAGAATTACCCTAGAGAGAGAATATTATCCTTTATAATCAAAAGGTCATTATGTCTAAGTTGAAGAATAGAAACTTAGAATTGGCAAAGAAGAGAAAAATGTATTCTTTATATATCTTTTTACCTAGTGGGGATAATAAAATTTGAGTGACATCTCTTGATATTGTACTTGAAATAGTAAGGATTGTGCAAAGGTAAGTAGAGTTTATATAGGAATAGTTGGGATAATGTTTATGTATATTTGTTATTTGTACTTGAAAAACTTAAGGCATGTATCAAAGTATTCGGGTTTGTGCAAAGACAGTTAGGGATTGTGTAAGAATACTTAGAATTGTACAAAGATATCTGGAAATTGTATTAGGATACTTGGAATTGTGCAGAGATACTTGGAGATTGTGGAAAAGATATTTGGGATTCTTGTATTGTATTATTTGATACAGTAAATTATACTAGGATACATAAAACTTGTGTAGAGATACTTAGAGTTTGTAAAACAATAATGACATTATAGATGTTATCCAATATCATGTATCTGTATTATACTTCTAACAGCCAATTAAGATCCTATTTTCTAACTACTATATACTATAATATAACTATGCTAATAACTAATAATAAATATAATATAAAATACAATAATAAATATATAACAACTATTAATAATATAATATACTATACTATACTAAAAATCTACTTTGTAATATTTTTCTCCCCTTAAGAATTTTGTTTCACAAAATTTCTACAACTTTTGTACTATATACAAAAGATAACTAACTAGTTAAATTTAACTTTATTTATATTACTGATATGTTTAAGAATCAATTTCTTCATTTAATAAATTTGTTTATAGCCTAATGCTTTAAACAATTAATAAGTTCTAGTCTAAATTTTAATTCGACTTACATTAATAGACTTGTTATAATCTGGTTTTTCTATTAATAGGGTTTCTAGATAATAGTTATATGCTAAGATTTTGTTGATTAAATCTGAGTAATGTAATTGTTTACAATAATATTAAATAATCAATTTTTTGTTTAAAAAAAAATTTTTTTTGGCAAAATTTTGTATTGTCACATGTTTTATTTTTGTGTTTGTATTGTTCTTTGTATCTTCTTTCCCTTAAAAAATAAGATCTCTGAACCTTAATTACTAATTTGTCTAAAATTAGTAACTTTGTTCTGGTTGGTTTATTTATTTCTAAATTTAGCAATCACATTGTCTCTATTATAATTGTTTTCTTTTAATAGATTTTCTAATTTATTTATTATTTGTATTTGTAATTATATAATTTACAAATTAGTATTATTTCAAATTTGTTAAATCTATTTCTAATTGATTTCTAAATTTATTAAATCAACTTCTAATTGATTTCTATTTTTGTTTCTTATTAAAAAAAATTTGATTATTGTTTATAAAAAGAAAAATATTTATATTTCTGCTCTTTTTCATCTTTTCTTTTATAAAAATTTCTTTAACAATAACAACAACAACAACAACAACAACAACAACAACAACAACAACAACAACAACAACAACAACAACAACAACAACAACAACTTTAACAATAATAATAATAACAAAATGCCAAGATACAGCTTTTCAAAAAGTATTTGTCAAGTTAGATGCAATAGCAATAATGCTTTGTATAAAGCCTTAAAGGTGATCCAAAATGGAAATAGATGGTGAATATTTAATTTCAACAAAAATATTCTTCTTATTATTATTTTTGTAAAGCTAATAAAATTTATATAGCTTGCTTCAGTTAGTGATCTCTCAAAAAAGAAGAATCCAGAGTTTAGAAGAAGAATTAGAAAAGTTAAGAGAAAATGCAATGACAAGAGTACAAAATATGTAGATGTTGGAACAATAGTATACAAGATTGTTGGATGAAAAAAATAAATTGAGAACAAGATTAGAAAATTATAAAGAAGATTTGAGAAGATTGAGGTGAAAGAAAAAAGAAAAGAAGAAAATAATAATAAGGATAGATTGTTAGGTATTAAATTTTAGATTGTATTTATTATTATTAATTAATTTTATTTTATTTTTTTGTTTTTATGATAATAAAATATATATATAAAATAAACTAATAGTAAAAATAAAGTATTGAAGTCTAATTAATAAAATATCATATAATAAAAAAATATATATATAATTGTTCGAAGAAGAAAAATATATATAAAAAAAAATTCTGTTTCTAGTATTTCAACCAAGAGCTTTACTGAACTTGGATCCTAGCAGAGAGCTCCCTCTAGCCAGTCTTGAACATATAACCTATACTGTCTGATAATACACCTTATACTATTAATCTATACTAGAAACATTACTAAATTTCAATTTTGTACTCTTTTTGAAGATCATTAAAATACTTCAAATATCCAATAATATTTTAAAATTTCATATGATTTATTCTAGAACTTCAGTATTTAATAATCATTTCTATAATTCTAATTTTAGACTATTGTAATAAAGTGATATATTTATAGTTTAAAAATCCAAAATACTAGGTTATACTACTACAAACTAATGCTGTTATCATAAATCTCATTAGGCAGAGTTAATACATTCATCAGCTAGATTTGAACATACAATCATGCAACAACTATATGCTTATTTTATCTATTTTACTATAATAGTATATTATGCTAAATTTGTTTATTGTATAGTTTTTGAAGATCAACTGTTGTTAAATGATTGTTCAATAGTATTTTAAAGTTTCATGTAATTTGTAATTAAGTTTTAGATATAATATAAGGAGTAAAATAAAAAGATTTGAATGTGATAAAGAAAAATAATTGTAATTTTAAAAAAATAAAATATCAAACTAAAAATTTTAAGAAAAGAGTATCTAGAAAAGAAGCAAGAAGAAGAAGATAAAATATAAAAAAAATAATAATAATAAAAAATAATAATAATAATAATAATAATTTTAAATAATAATAATAATAATATAATAGGAATGAGAAGAATAGAGATAAGATGTAGTAGTATTCAATAATTTATAAGAAATAATTTTTTATAATATTAATAAGATCATTTTATAGGAGAGATAAATGGATTAAGCATTTAGAAGAAAAGAATACTAAGTTGAAGCATAAGGTAAAAATTGCAGAAAATAGTCAGGATGAACGGAAAAGGATGTTTCAAAAAGGTGAAGTAAAATACAGTGAAGTAGTTAAGAGTTTATTGAAGAAAGAAAAGAAAGAAAATGGCGATTTGTTTAT